AGGCAAGTCGCAGGCCAAAAGTTCATCATAAACACGCAATCGCAGATCTAGCTGAGGCATAGTCTCGTAACAGCCCATGATTTGTTTCAGTGTTAATCAATCTCCATAAATGACAAAAATAACAACTTACTCTTGCTGATACTTCAGAGTTTACAAAGCATTTTTTCCTTTGAAGGGAATAAGACCGTGGATTACTATTCTGTCTTGCAGATGGAGAAACTAAGGCTTCATGAAGGTTAGTCTTTTCTCAGAGTCATACTGGGAGTCCAGGCTTATGTGCAGATGTTCTCATTACAATCCTAGCTAATCCCACTAATTTTTAGAACCCAATTAAACACTGTCATGGTATGTTGCCTTTTTAAAAGTTATTTCCTAGATGTATCTTCGAAAGATTCTTTTAGAGGAAATCAAAACTGGTTTCACTCATCTAAGTACTATTGGGGTCAGTTTAAAAAATAAACCAGCCTTGCCCTCTCCATTTGTCAGTTCCACTCTTGGAATGAACAGGGCTGGGGTGTTAATGCCCATCTGGAAGATATCTACTTTATAGCATTGCTGTACATCACCATATGGGTCAGAGAAACAGACTCATCATCTAAATAAATATTGTTAAATTATTTCCCATTGTGAGGTTTTGAGTCTTACTAGGTTTAGAGTAGAGAGAATACCAAGTAGCTCAGTGTTTACAGCTAACTACTGTTTTCCATTTTAGATTTGGTGTGATCAATTTAGCAAATGACATTGAAAACAGCTCTTGCTTGCTTGAAAGATGTAATTGAGTTGCGTGATAGCATTAAAATATTACAACTGGATACAAACTTTATCTATTTTTCATTTTCTGGTTTGTAGGACCCAATGGGTACAGCTTGGAAAGTGGAAGGAATGAAATCATTAAATGCCAATGACTGTAAATCTTTTTCTTTCAGTTTTTGTTTGTGCTTTTTTAAAGACAGTTGTAAAGGGTTGAAGAGCTTGAGAAAATTGCAAGTGAATATGAGAAGTCAGTTTTAAAAGAACAGCCGCTGCCACTTATTTATGCTCTAACTGGGCATCAAATTGAACATGCTGGAGGCCTGCTGATTGCACAAGCAATGGGCCACTTGCATTTGCAATTAACCACTCACACCCTTGTTTTTCCTCGCAACCCAAGAGGTTGATTATGTGATTGTAGGTATAATAATTAGCACACATGAAAGAAAAACCCAGCAGAATCCTCCTAATAGTGTCTTCCATTGAAAGGCTCAAATATGACTAATTAGAAGGTACAGAAGTAGGTCCCTAGCATCTGCTATATCAAAATACTATAGTCTGGTTGCTCTTACTGTACAATATAAATTATATATAATATAAATCCCACCAGTCCTATGTAGGGATGGCTCTCTGTTATAACAAGAGTGGGAAAATGATATATATATATATATAGATAGATAGATTGGGGAGACTCTACTTTCAGATACATCCTTCTCACTGTAGGCTGATACTGGAATTTTTATAATACCTAGACAAATAAGAATCCACAGGAATGTACAGAAAACTACCCATCATTCAGAATGTCTTTTTTCCCTTCCTACCAGTTACTTTCTGCTTCTGAAGGATGGTAAATTAAAAAGAAAAAGAACAACCTTGAAAAACGTTTTAGTACAACCACTTAGAAAAGTTATATAAAATATATAAAATATTACAAACATAGTTGAGTTCACAAGAAAGGGCATATTAATGTAATTGCCAGCAGTAATAAATTATTAAGTATATGAATCAATTTAGATGTTTGATGTTGGTTTATAGACTGAAAGTTGGCAGAATTACAAGAAGAATTTGGCAGGTACCTCAACACATAAGATTTTAACATGTTTTTTAAAATTTCAGGACTGACTGATATGTTTAGCAAATACTTTTTAGGAAAAATATAAAATTCTCAAACAATGTAAAAACAGGCTTGATGGAATGGGCAATGCATATGGATGTTAGTATTTTGCATTTAAGAACATACATTCTTCAGAAGCATACAGGAAACTTTTATGAAGACTGACAACATATCAGGTCACAAATACCAAAAATAGTTCATAGACTATTTATTCTGATCACATGAAATAAAAGGAGAACTAAGGAGAAAGAAAATCAATCTTCTTTTGTAAATATTTGGAAATAAAAGGAAAACAACACACATCTAAATAAAATAATTTCAGTGAAAAATAAAATTAGAAATCAGAAAATGTGAAAATGTTGAGAATTGAATGGCAGTGAAAACACTGCACATAAAAGCTGGTGGGATGCAGTCAAAGCTGCACTCAGATGTAAATGTATAGCATTCAGTGCCCATGTTAGAGAAGAATAAAGGCTAAAAATTATTGATCTAATTCTAAATAAAAATGTTAAGTGAAAAACAAAGCCAGAATAAACACAAAGAAAGTAGAAAAGGGGAACGTTAAAAATAGAAAATAATAAATTAGAGCAAAGTAATAAAAAGCATAACAATAAAACCAAAAGTTGCTTCTTTGAAATATTAACAATAAACAATAATAACAATAAACAAATATGAAAGAATAGATATATTACATTACATTAATAGATAATATTGAAAATGAGGACAGAGATTTGAGGAATTATAAGATAATATAGAATGACTTGATGATAAATTTAAAAATGTAGACCAAATGGACAGTTTTTTAGGGAAATACAGTTTTCCATAGCTGTCTAAAGAAAAAACAGAAAGCTTAAATAATATGTAAGTATTAAAGATATCATACTGATAGTAAAACTTCTAGACCAAACCCATTTGGCCCAGGTAGTTTTCACGTGATTTTTAACAAAATGTGAAAAAAATCAATAATTGGACCATCTCTTTCAGAAAACAGAAAAAGAGAAAAATCCCAACTTATTTAAGAAGAAATTTTACTTTACTACAAAACCAGTCAAGAACACTACAAGAAAAATACAGACCAATCTTATTGAGAATATATTTGCAAAAATAATAAAATCTGGTGAATTAAATTTAGCAGTGTATATCAAAAATTAATCATGATGAAGATCTTTTTATCAAATGGTTTTTCATTTTATCAAATGAAACCTACAAGAGGTTTCAGCCTCAACAAAAATCTATCATTATAATACAACATAATCACACTTTAAAGGAGAAAATCTTTGTGATCATTACAATAAATGAATTTTTAAAAATTGCTAAAATTCAACCTGTGTTTGTTAGAAAAAACTGTTAGTTAAATGATGAGTAGTAGTGACACTTCTTAGCTTGATTAGGGGAATATCAAATATCTATAGCAAATATTGTTAATATTGAATTGTTAATAGTATCCTATTAAAGTCAAGAAAAGTATGCTCACTATCATTATTTCTAATCTGCATTGACAGATAAGTTGTAGGCAGTAAAGGGAAGATAAGGAAAGTAAAATAGGTAAATATTGAAAAAGAAGAAATAGTTATTGTTTTTCACTTTTAATATTGTTTTTATGGGAGATCAAAGAGTTTCTACAAATTACATGAGTAGGATACATGGTCAAAAAGTCATGGTGTTTAATGTATGAACAACAAATAAGTAGAAAATGTAAATTAAAAATCAGGTGCCATTAACAATAGCAGCAACAAAATATGTGCCTTTGAATGAATCTAGCAAAAAAAATGGAGAAAACCATGAACCTAAAGTTTTGTATTTGGAAAACATAAAAGAGTACTTGAAAAACTGGGAAAAATTTACCTTGTTTCTTTAGAGATAGAACTGATATTAGAAGGACAGCAATTCTCTCCCACCTGATCTATGATTACAATGAAGCCCCAGACCTAATTCATAATTAGAACTTTACAAACTCATCATAAAACATATTTTTGTAAAAGCAAAGAGCCAAAATAGCCATGAGAACCTTAAGAAGAAGAGAAGGGAAGAATTTAACTTACCTGATACAAAACTCACATGAAAGCCTAGAGATATAAAACGTGTGGAAATGACACAGAAATAGATGAAGAGATCAGGAAGAGAAAAAGAGGACCTGGTAACAGACTTATACATGGGATAAGGTATATGACGCAGGTGGCATGGATATGACTTATACATGGATATGATGCAGGTGGCATGACAAATCAGTGGATGAAGGATAGGTTACTCAAAAAAAAAAGATTCCATCCATATAGAAAAAAATAAAGTTAGATCTTTTTTTAACATACAGAAATAAATTCCAGATGGATTAAACAGCAAAATGTGAGAAGAAAAACTGTTAGGCATTTAGCAAGAAGCACAGGAAAGTATTTTTATAATGTTATGATAAGGAAGGCTCTCTTAAGATTCAAAAAAACAAAATGCTGTTCCATTCTAAGTCGTATTTTCTAATAGATGACCCCATAAATAAGGACCAGAGGCACTGGCTTAATAGTGATGGTGGGTGTCCAGATCTCTTACTTAATTTTCTGTACACTTTAAATGTTTGGAAAGGCTTGAAAATTAAAAACAGTAAAGACAAATATTTCAGAGAATGTAGAATAGAGTACAGGGAAGTAGAGCTGAAGTTGATAAACTTGTTCTTCAACCTTCTGTTCCCTCTCTGTCCTCCATCCGGCTGCCATAGTATTTATGCTCCTTATAAGCACTTGCCTCTGGCCTCTTACAGTTCAGGTCAAGACACAATGCTTGAACCACGCTGAGAGGACGTGGGGCTGACTGTTGGCAGAATGGTGACCAAGACGTTGCTCTCGTGCAAGCCCCTAGAGGTAGTTTTTCCCTGACATACCATGAAGTGTTTATTTGGTCTGTGACAAAATACTCTCATGAGGTGGACATACACCCATTTCTACAAGTTGGCACCCAGTCGCAGCATGCCAGCTTGCTTACGTACATTAAAAATGCCCATTTGGTGGCAACCCAGCTCGTCATTACACAAACGCTTCCCAGAATGGTTTGCATGCAGGTTGCTTGCTGAGGTCCTCCCCCTTGGCCTCACCCTGTTTCACAATTGTCCAAAGCTGCCAGCCTTCACATGCCCATGGATGGGAAGGGGGTGAGGACCTCATTCTACCAATATAGTTTAATCATTGGAGGTCCCTTCCCTAGAACACTGGATTTCATAGGAAGGTTTATTCTTTATACAGATTGAGTTTTCGTGTTACTAGGCTATTGGGCTCCTGTTGCCATGGGAAAGCGGAGTTTATGTTCACGTGCAAAGGATTTTGAAGGGAGGCCTGACCTGAGTTGCTCTCTCATCATGCGAGCATCCACTGAGCCAGGTGAATGGGGCTGTTGGTTTACTGCTCTGCTGTTGGGAAATGGCTCCAGAGTGACAGTCAAGTGTAATACCAAGGTGAGTCCAGGGTATGATTGGACAAATACTGGCCTTCTCAATGAACTGAAATCACATGCAGGTATAGTGAAAGGGAATCAGACAACAAACTTTTTACCTGAGCTACCCAGTTCATTGTGGTTTTCAGTCAGGCTGTTGGTATTTATTAGCTGTTTAAAGTCTGTTTTCATTGTCTGATTTGGTGGGGGGGCCTTTTGGAAGTACAGCTGTTTAAAGGTCTTTCAACTCAAAATGCTGATTTATGAAATTCTAAGTTCGTCTCATGAGCCCAAGTGTTTGATCATTAATAAATAAAACGATCTATCAACTCCACCAGGTGCTACATGGTGGACATTACCTGGGCTTTGCGCTGACGTCCTCGGGTCACTTTTACCCTTTCTGTGCTGGCCTCCCTGGCTTTGATGTGTCTGCTCCAGTGGCCCAAGCCTGAGCCTTCAGGAGCCGCCTTGCCCGTCGGGTTTTCAGGGAGCTTAAACTGCCTGCAGTTCCATTCTGCCCATCTCCCAGGTGGCCCTTCACCGAATGACTCTGAAAAGCTGGCTCCCGGTTTCAAATAGGCTCCCGATGATTCTGAGGAGGAGCTTCCTCTCCAGAATTCCTGCATGGGCTCGGATTTCTTCCTCATTCCCAGCCTGCTTCCGCTATCCCTTTAGCGGTTTCTCCTGGAAGTACTTCCACAACACGACACTTGCACGGACCCCTTTATCTCAGCATCTGCTTCTGGGCGATCCAGTGGAATATCTGAATGGTTTATTAGAGCTTTTCAGAGATGGGGAAGAGAACTGAGGGGTCCTAAGCACTTGAGGGGGCTAAGCCTGAATCCACAGGAGGAGGAGACAGGTGGGAAAAGGAGAAGGTCTGGCTGCCCAAAGAAAGGATTCAGCCACTTTACAGTTTGCCTCTAGACAACCTGTAAGTTATTGGATGATTTCCTCAGTTTCTTGCATTTATTTTGCTTGTGAAGACCATTGTGGTGATTTGCTGGGAACTATCCTTTCCAGTCTTCTGCCCTACCTCAGAACGATCTTCGTATGTGAGTTTAAATAAATACAAGTTAGCTGTTTCCTCCAGAGACAGACTTTTACAATCCCTGGCTCGGTAGGCTACTTGGAAACACGTCTCAGAAATCATCTGGTTTGGGGAAACATCCATGTTTTATAAGGATGTAAACTCTCTTCCAGTTAAGAATCCAGTCATCTGAGGGGCACGTTATGGGCTTTGGCCCACTTGAAGACTTGAAGAATTCTGTCTTTGTTTATAGATACACATACAATAAAAGTTAAAAGCATGACTGGAAATGATAAACACCAAGTCAAAATGGTGGTTACTTCTTGGAATGTGACTGGAGTAAGGTTCATAGAGATCCAGTTATACATGTGTATATACACGTATGTTCAACTTAAGCTGGCTCTGCCATTTCCTAAAAAAGTGTAGTCAGCCACCCACGAGGTAAGTGCTGTTCTCTACATTCTGAATGTGTACACCCTGGAGCAACACTGTCCAGAGGAAATTTTCTGTATTGGTGGAAATAGTCTCTACCTGTGCTGTCTGGTATGGTAGCCACTAGCCTCAGGTGACTATATAATTTAAATTAATTAAAATTTGAAAAGATTGAAAGTTCAGTTCCTCGGTCATGCTAGCCAGCTTTCAAGTGTTCAAGAGCTGTTTGGAGCAGCCCAGCTCTAGAATGGAGTCTCAGAGGACAGATTGCACAGAACTGCAGATGGGAAAATTGAAGCCCACTTTTTTAGTAAGGATGAGGGAATTACATGGTGAGGTTTACAACTAGTGAGGAGATCAAGACCTAGTTTTCTGATTCTCAGTTACTGTTTTGGCCTCTGGCACTCACCTCCTCAGCTTGGAGAGTGGGAAGGAAGGTGAAGTGGGACTGGGGTGTGGGCAGAAAGGATGTTTTCCTATTTCTATATGAGAAAGACTGGAAGAAGGGGTATCTCCCCTTTGCCCTCTACTCTCCCTACCTTTCCCCATGGGCTCCTTTGGGGATATGGAAAACACTGGCAGAATTTGGGTTGAAGGAAGGAACATGAAAGTAGTGTATGTGTTTCCCAATTACCGCTCACAGGGCTTCTGAGGACGTAACTTCTATAGGTCAGACCCCTCCATGTAGCGATCCCTGAATCAGCAGGGAACACATAGCGCTGTCAAATTGGGTAATTTGAGGAGAGTTTAATAAGTAGCTATTTATAAGTAACAGTGGGGAACTGATGCCACTCCTGAGCCCAGAAGGGAGAAGTTTAGCATCACAGAGAGTCACATTTTTTCCCCTCTCTACTTCTAAGATACATGTCTGTTTGTTGGTGATGAGAGAATTCTACCTGGGTCAGGGGTAGAGGAGAAGGTTTATGTTTTTCTCTAACCTCCAAATTTGTCTTTCTACAATATGCAGTTACTCAGTTAAATCAGTTGTTGCTGGATATCTATGACTGATAAGGTATTAGCCTTTTGGGGGGATAATGGATTGAATAAAGCCTTGTTTCTGCTCTTGAGGCCCTTGCTATCTATTTAGATATGAGACACACATGCATGAGATCATTGGACCATAAATAAATCTCACATGAAATGGACCTCTAATGCATATAAAATATGTTTGCACACTATGTATGCATATATAATATTTGCCACTTTCTGGCTCTGTGGTATTTGGACAAGTTGTTTTATTCATCTGAGCTTTTAGTTCACCTGAAAAATTAGGTTCTCTTTTAGGGTTACTATGATTAAACTGATAATTTTATAAAGTGTATCCTAGCAACTTTGCCTAGTGAACATGGCTACTTGGATGAATAGCTCTACTAGGCATATCAGCTCATAAATTTAACAGATTCCAACTGAATTCCTGGTTTACCCTACAAATCTGCTGCCCTTACAGTCTTCTCATCTGAGTGAATGGTGACTTGCTTAAGACAAGCACCTCACCTCAGTACTTGCTCTTACATCCTGCATTCCGGTCATTAGGAAGTGCTCTTGGGTCTACCTTCCAGTGCATCTCCAGGCTCCCCACTTCTTATTGTGTGCACTGTGACTGTTAGGAAGGAGTTGGGTGTCCCAGGGAAGATGGACAGAATGAAACCGAAGTCAAGAAAGCAAGCAAGTTCATTACACTCTGTACTAGAGCGGGCCCCAACCGTATGTCCTGCAGGCCCCGACTGCCTACCTCAAGGCTCCTTTTGTGGCATGTTTTGGCAGAGCAGAAAAGTCCTTGATTGACAGTTCTTGGCCCTTGTGGCCTGATCTGGTTGGTGAACTGGGGGCATAGGCTGTGCCTGTGCTCTGATGTTTCTTTATCTGCAGAGTCCCTGGACATTCCCTGAGTCATTCCAGGCCCTCATGACTTCATCTGATTAACTCTCTAGGTCACTCTTGGCCCTTGTGGCCTCATCTGATTAACTCTATGAGTCATTCTTGGTTGGCTCTATTCTCTTCCCATCCCACTCATGTCTGTCTTTCTGCCCAACAGTGATCACTGCGGTCATGTGACCATCATCTCTGCTCTCGGTCTTTGGAAAGCCTCCTTACTGGTCTCCCTGCTTCCATCTAAATTTCTTAGCATGTGGCATGGTAAGCTTGTCTTTTCTTAATTTTATTTAAATTGCTTAGAATTGTTGAAATTTTGTTTCCTTAACTTTAACAACATTTTTGTTCATTGGTGATCATTTCTCAGTGGGGACTCTTTTGGGGCCATTTTCCCTCAGGCTTTGTGACTTTGATATCTTTTGGTAAGGAAACTATAGTCTTATTTGACGTTGTCTTCTTTTATGGAGAACCCCTAGAGAATCAGGCACTGAGCTGTAAGATTTTAAAATAGCATTTAATGATTATGTTAATCTGGGTAGGTAGGCGTTCTATCCCCATTTTACTGAGAAATCTCTAAGGAACCGTTCCCAACAAAATTCAGAAATTTGCTTAATGATTTTTGGCCTGAGGCATTCTTTTTCTTTCCAGAGATGGATGGAAAGTCTCTGTCACCAAGAGATTCCGAGCCAAAACTCATCAATCAAGAAAATTTCTCATTCACTTTGGGCCTATGTGTAAAGTGCACTTGATAAACATTTATTGAGGACAGTCTTTATTGAAAGTGTACCAAAATGTGCTGAGCTAATTCAGAGAAGAATAAGGTCAACCATGTCCTTGAAACACTTATGTTCTAGTGGCAGAGAGAGAAATGTTCACAACTTACTTTCATATACTACATAAAGATATGACATATGTGTTTAGGTCATGTAGAAGACTAAGCAGCTATTAATGTCCATGTATGGAAAAATTATTAGCAAAATGATTCTAAATAAGAGTTCATTTACACTTTCATTGTGAAAGAGAATCATTTGCCAGTTTAACTAACATGTTATGATTTGATAACAGGTGTTGAAACAAACTGTTAATAGGATCTGGGTCCTTGCCATAAAATGCAGAGGTTATGGAAATTCAAACACGGTTTACACTTGCTCTGTGGCACTAAAACATTTTTGAAGGCAAGGAAATCCTCTTAAAACATCTAGTCATTTGCTTAAAAGAGTAACATGCAAACAATATCCTTATTCTAAACTCATCTTCACTGTATAACTGAATGTGGACATTCGTATTTAGGTTGTGATGTGTGGATCTCTATCCTACAGGCTGACATCTCCTTCACTCCCTTTTTTCTTTCTGTTTTAATATAAGCTCCCACATTAATCTCTTGTTTCATTTTTTTCTATTAAAGAATATTTTTGAGCTGAAGCTAATAACTCCAGTTACACTGGTCTATTTCCCACATCCTTTCCACAGGCATTTTTTAGACAGTCACATGTTTTTTTCTTCATCACATTGCAGCCTAGAATTTCTGGAGTTTTCTCTGGAGCTCAGGTCTTTCCTGGGAACAATGTGTAGTAAATTTGCCTTTGGGATTTGTTCATCCATTCCCACCAAGCTCACTGATCAATGCTGGTTTAAAACTTGCTTTCAGCTCTATATAAGGAGAATGAGACCAATTTGTTATTTCCAAAATGAGAGTTGATGTCATTGCATATATTATATTAATATATTGCATATATTATTTCATATTATGATGATGGTGCATTTTGTGTCTTTGGAGGCCATTCACAGGAATTGTCAGTGCTTTCAGTAATTTTATGATTTGTCTCTCTCTGTACCATGAGGCTCACTGGATATACATTTGTGAAAGGAAGTTGAAAAAAGAAATAAACCACAAAATCCAAGAGAAGGATTCATTAGAAAATAATTTCTGTGAATGATCTGTAAATTAACATGAGGAAACAGGAGGGTTTCTCCTAAATGGCAATAGTTTTATAGCAAATGTAAAATGGGATTAAATAGATACACTATATATGGTAATGTACAAAGAGATAACATTGGCTCCCAACACAATATATTCCTGTTGAAGGAGACAGTCTATATGGACTTCTTAGCCCTCTGATCATGGATGAAAACAGTGGTGTGGCTGTGACAATAATGCTCATGAAATAGTCAACTGATCCCTTCTATTTCCTAGCCTCTGGTAGTTGGTGTGGGGGTCATGCGACCAGTTCTCACCAGTGTCCTGACAGTGAAGGTAATCCTTGTCACTGAAGATTTAAGGACTACACTGGGGGTTGGGGGGGAGGGTCTTGAGTTCCCTGTGCTCTCTTCCTCTGATGTGGCAGTCTGAATGTCATGTGTCAACATGGTGATGTTATAAGACGATGGAGTGTTGTCACACCACCCCCAGGGACCTCAGTGAATGTGGAACAAAGCCTCCTTTCTGGCCTATCCTGAATGCATAGCAGGAGCAACTGTCTCGGTCATCTGGGTGGTTATAACTAACAGCACAGACTGGGCAGGTTTTGATCTCACAGTTCTGAAGTCTGGCAAATTAAAGATCATCTCTTCTATGTCTCTTAACTGGGCACTAGTCCTACTCATGAGAGCTCTACCTTCAAGACCTGATTACCTTTCAAAGACCCCCCCATCACACGACCTTCAACCTGTGGGTTCTGGGGGAACACAGATATTCATAGCAGCAGCATATAACTCCTTACAGTGTCGAGTCACTGAGATTTGGGGTCAGTTTGTTACCCAGCTTTACCTGGCCTAACACAAGTACCTTCCACAGAGAAATAATGCTTGTTGTCTGGCTCTTTTTAACATATTGCCTAAAGCTAAATGTAGATATTTACCACAGAACCAGGACGTGTGTCCTGCATGGAAAGGGAGGAAACCATGAAATCTAAATTATACCTAATGTCATGGCCAAAAAAGCTGTCCTCATCTGCGTAGCTTACAATGGTAATGAACAATGTGTAGTAAATTTGCCTTTGGGATTTGTTCATCCATTCCCACCAAGCTCTTCTGAATTATGAAATTATTCAGGAAAATTATTAAGGGAAAACCTAAAATAAGGAGTACTATGAGTATAATATATTTTCCATCTGATTTTTATTCCTTTCTAAATATACTACACAGATGTAAAGGCACCTGGATGTGCTAGGACTCAAAATTGTGACCATTCTAATGTGGAAATTCAGCATGTTAGCATGTAAAAATGCAATGGGATCTGTTTCCCTGCAGCTGTTTCTGATGCACAGTTCATTGTCTATCTCAATTAGAAACTCATCTTTTGCAATACCATTTCCTTCTCTGTGGTTGATTTGATCAAACATCCTATTGTTTAAGCCAAAAACATAGCTTTACCAAATCAAAGCATGTTAGCATGTAAAAATGCAATGGGATCTGTTTCCCTGCAGCTGTTTCTGATGCACAGTTCATTGTCTATCTCAATTAGAAACTCATCTTTTGCAATACCATTTCCTTCTCTGTGGTTGATTTGATCAAACATCCTATTGTTTAAGCCAAAAACATAGCTTTACCAAATCAACCATAGTATTGTTCAGAACTCATCATTCATTACTTTATTCTTCATCAGTGCTTATAATACTGATATCTGCAAAGAGGAACTGAATCTTAAATGAAGCTTTTCAAATACACTTGACTACAAGTAGTCTGTGAACAGAGAGTTTTCTTCCCTTTTTATTTTTTTAAAGGAGAACAAAATGATGCAGTCTTGTATGGATCATGACAATACCAAACAGATGCAAATAAATATTAAAGTAATATATTTTAGTGTTGGATCACAGCCCAAATTCTTTGCCCCAGAAAATTACATAAATGCTCTAGTGCGCATGTGGTTTATATTTAAGGTATAATGAGCTGTTCGAATAGAGAAGGGCAGGCAACCATATTAAAAATAAACATCAAATTTTAACAAAGATACATCCACTTAGTTTGCAAATAGCCCTAATGGTTTCAGTTTATTACAGCTACTCCAGCATACAACATCTTTGGTTGACACCCAATTTCCAGTTTCAGAGTCTCTCAGTGAATCTAGAAAGGTTGCTGTGTATAATTCTTTCACAGAATAATTGTTCAACAGTGATCACATTGCCAGAGTGAGCATAGCCTGTGATGAGAGGGTAGAAATAAGAGTAAAATAGAATAGCACACAGTGTATGAATAGGTAGGACTGTCTAACCACGGCTACTGAACCTAAAGTCAGCCTCAACCTGCTTGTGATATGCATCATAATGGTCCCGCCCTGTCCAGCGCTGTGACGCCTGTCTCTGCATTCTGGTACCAGCATGCTACACAGCACTATTTAGAAAGCCTGAGAAGAAACAATATGTAAACTCTGCCCCGATATATTTAGGCTTAAAGCACCTGCAAGGCACATTTCAAATGCTCAAAACACACATGTACACACAGCACACACATGCACCCCATAGCATTTCCATTTTTTCGATTTATAATCTACCCTTTTTGCCTCAGTAAGTGAGTCTTTGTAACCAGGGAAATGAACCTGATTCTCAGTCCATTGAAGTGCTGGGATGTTGTCTTTGCAAATGATTAAAAATGTGATCTATGGTTCCAATAAATCCCTATGTTCTAGTTTAGAGTTTATAAACTGTAAAATATCAACTCTCCTTGGGCTCTTCTGAGTTTCAACCAATAAAATGCCAACCAATCTTGAAATAAAACAGCTAATCTCAGGTTTTTACCTTGCTTAGGACTTTATTATTTGGAGTTGTCCTTAGACAACTTCACCTCCCTTTTTACTTGCTAGAGACTGGGGGAGCCATGCTGTCACCCACCGGGACTAGCTGATAAATAAGTAGCCAAAGACTATTTTGAGAGGCAGGTTTATAAGTTTGCAGAAGCCGTATGATGAACCTAAAGACAAACTAGTTGGAATTAAACTCTGTAGATCATCTAACACCAGTCAACGTGTTAATTAGGTCTTCAAATCAGTTGCCAACCCCAATATTTCCTTGTCTTGGTCTTTAAGGGGAGCCTGGATTTCCTATAATACAAACATGATTTCAAATCTCTAATTAGGTTCTTATTTCTTTTTATAGATTTTTCTTTTTCCAAATCATGTTGCTTTTCACCTACCCATTGAGTGAGACTTTCACCAACTATCTGAAACTTCTCTGCTTTCTAAAAACTGCAGTGAAAGAGACCTCATAAAAACAAACGTAAAAAAAAAAAGATAACATGGAATGAAATTTAGTTGATGACCTAAGATGAAT